CCACAAAAGGGAATATATAGCTTATTAATTGGGGTGGGAGTGTTAACAGTATCCTTTAGTATATTTTAAAAATTTTGAACCTTGTGAATATATTTCCTATTAATAAAATAATATTTAAGCTAAAGAGTTCTTGTTTGTGGATTCCTAGCCTTTCTCCTTTCATCTTTCCAATAGCACACTACATTAATGCCATCCATTGCCGTAGGACATAACTACATATGTTTGAAAATTGTTCTAACTTGTTCAATATCACACACTAAATGGTAACTGCTGAGGATGAACAGGTACTTTATAGTCACATTCCCAATACTTAAGATAATTTATTTAATATCAATAGGACTTGCAGTACTATGTCTGTCTCATTTCCTACCAACAAGCTCTAGGCTATTCTTTGACCTGGCTTAGGGTCTAACATCCAATTCCATGTCACTTTTTTTCCACTAAACGTTTTAATGTTTTTATGATCTAAGAAAGTTCCTGGAATAAAATTACGGCTCAGTACATTTTGGCTATTTTTCTTTTCCGTTTTCGGGTTCAAGGAGCCTTTTATCTTCAGAATACTTCTTCCACCTAACGTTATGAGGTACTTTGCTCTGAATCTCAGGTCCATCTTCTCAATTTCAAGACATAATTAGTCTCCTCGGGATCACTTCAAACCCAACCCGATTTCCCTATTCTAATTCCTCCTATCATTCTGTAGCTTATAATAAAATTTACATTTTCTAGAATTTTTCAGATTTTCTTGATTAAGATATTAACTACTTGAGACCCCAAAGAGCATATTGCAATGTGGAGTTCTTTGAATAATAGAGATTATATGCACACCTGTAAAAATCTGCTCTCTGCAAATATCATTGTTTCATGAGCTACCTCTGTGCTACAAGATACACTATCAAGCATATTTCATAATATTGTCAAGGTCACAGACTTTGGAGGAGGCTTGGTTCAAATGCCATCTCTGCCCCTTGTTAACTAGGTGACCTGGACATGTCTCTAATCACCATCGTCATCAGTAGAATGAAGATATGGACAACATCTATACCATGTACTTGTGCATAAGATTAAATGAAATGATGTGTGTAACTCACTTAGCACAGGAATGGTTCCTATTGTTAGTGGTTTCCTTCATGCTTGTCTTTTATGACTTTTCATTCTGTTAAGAGTTTTTTTACATCCCTGAACTAGTCATTATCATCCTTCCATGAGGTCAGGGATATGTAGCTTACTTAGCCAGATTGCACACAATGTTCTAATGAATGGTATTATTTTCATTTTTAAAAAATTCTGATACATTTTATCACGGTCACTCCAACCCTTTGGATGCAAGTGAATTACGTGGCAGAAAAGAAAAATCATCCAAAAGATCCGCCTTTTATCGAAGTCAACCTATTTCATAAAAAAGATAGGGTTTTTTTTGTGTTGGTAAGTTTATTGTGTCCTCTTATACTTGACAGTTTTATTGGATATAAAACCTTGTCTTTTTTTTTTTTGAAGTCTTTTTTATTATTATTATTATACTTTAAGTTCTAGGGTACATGTGCACAACGTGCAGGTTTGTTACATATGTGTACATGTGCCATGTTGGTGTGCTGCACCCCTTAACTCATCATTTACATTAGGTATAAAAGATAGGATTTTAATAAGGTGCCAGTGAGTTCCTAGTTTGAAAACTTAACATGGCTGAGTTTTTCTTGACTGAAACTATTTTAACATCTTGAGCAAGCCTATTAACATAAAAGAGGAAAAGGAAAGTTACTATGACCTAATGACAGAAAAGCAAATATTCAAAATAGTCACCAAAGCTAATGCAAGCACATACGGATATTCCCTAAGATGGTCTCTTTCTGACTGTGCATTCCTTTGGCAAATTATAGGTTTCAGATCCCCAAGAGATTATTTAGCTTTTTTTTAATTTTCCAAATTTGTCATAATGTTCTCCTCACATGATATTGTTGTATAAAGGGTCTCTGGCACAGTATGTAGCACACAGTCCACCTTGTTCATGGGTAACTGAACCAAACGGACCTGAGTTACCACTAGGGAACCACAGTCAAGGATTTGTTTAATATGAATTCTGTACTAAAGAACACACAATCTGCTATTTACTGTGTAATGAGCTTTAATTAGCTAAAGTAGATGACACAGTGTCCAAGTACTTTGTAATGTCATAAAAAACTGCACACTGACAAAAAGTAATTCATAAGGGCTGGGCAAATTCAGTTTTTGTTCAATTGCCTTTGCATGCATAACCCCTCTTTTGGTCTCACGGCTTTTATTTTGTTCCTACTACATTCCAGCGAATAGACACTTAAATTCCATTTCCAATATTCAAAGTCACTCTCAAATGACGGGAAAAAAATATCATTTTCAAACTGATTTAACCGATCAGTCCAAGTCTGGCTTACAGTTGAAACACTGTTCTTGTTTTTGCAATAACTTACCTCCAAACCAGCGGTTGTCTCTCTTTATAAGTTGCAACAGCAACAATTTTGTCTTACTTTTCTACTTGCAGCCAGTCTTCATAGCCACTCATTAGTAGCTGAATCTCCAAAGAGGCAAGAAGAGTGAGTAATCATTTTGTCGTAGAAATTGATTGACTAGTTGATGTTTACAGAAACATGGTGTTATGGACATGATTACTAGAACAAAGTGTCATGAAATTTCTCTAGTTCAGAAAAAGTATCATCGGATTCCTCTAGTTTAAAAATAGAAAGAAAATTCGTATTTGGCAATAAATTTTAGGACTAGGGCAAATTGAATTTGCCTCTGAAGTGCATGCTGAAATACCATCCCATTGTGGAGACCCACAAATTCCTAAAGATCTGCCTCAGGATTTAAGAAACGATTTAAATATTCTGCTCTTAAGGACTCTTCTAAACCTCTGTGCATAACTTTAAATGGCCTGCAAGATGAAAGGTGTATAAAACTTATGTAACTTCAGAAGTAAAGCCCTGAAGACCTAATTATGGGAGGCCTATTACTCTATTTCACATACAAAATCAGAAGGGAGCTCCTCTCTCTCTCTTTCTCTCTCTCAGTCTCTCTCTCTCTCTATCTCTCTCATCATTTTGGAAGTATAATTGATGTTTTCTGTACACAAATTGTCCATTCACCTTATGGATTTAGTTTACAGTAAAAGCTGACTCTGAATAAACATATATTTATAGATGGTGTGAAATAATATGCATTCAGTAAAAACTACTTCAAGAACCCATACAACCATTCTATTTTGCACTTTCAGCACAGTATTCAATAAATTACTTAGGATATTCAACACTTTAATATAAAATAGGCTTTGTGTTACATGATTCTGCCCACCCATAGGCTAATGTAAGTCTTCTGAGCATATTTAAGGTAGGCCAGGCTAAGCTGTAATGTTTGGCAAGTTAGAGATATTAAATGCATTTTCAATTTATATTTTCATGTAACGATGAGTTTATTGGTATACTCTTTGACATTGATATATTTTCATTTATTCTAATGGTGATATATACTGTAAATAAAAGAATGGAAGGACAGAAGGAAGAGAAGGATGGAGGAATGGGAAAAGGATAAAGGAAGGAAGGCAGGGACAGAAAGAGAAGGTAAAAGAAGGCAAGAAAAGAAAAGATATCCTCAAGCAGTATATAATGCTGTAAGAAAATGTGGCCCATATACACCATGGAATACTATGCAGCCATAAAAAAGGATGAGTTCATGTCTTTTGCAGGGACATGGATGAAGCTGGAAACTATCATTCTCAGCAAACTGTCACAAGGACAGAAAACCAAACACTGCATGTTCTCACTCATAGGTAGGAATTGAACAATGAGGACACCTGGACACAGGGCGGGGAACATCACACACCAGGGCCTGTCAGGGGGTGGGGTGTTGGGAGAAGGATAGCATTAGGAGAAATACCTAATGTAAATGATGAGTCGATGGGAACAGCAAATCAACATGGCACATATATACCTATGTGACAAACCTGCATGTTGAGCACATGTACCATAGAATTTAAAGTATAATAAAAAGAAAGGTATAAATCTGATATAAGACTATGGAGCTACCTCAGTCATCCCAGAGGATTAATGAGGGTGGCTGGATTTAAGCTGTGAAGGAAAACAAAATTAGAATTTGAGCATTCAAGACAATCTGCCTGGGGGTCAAACATAAAATGCCTGACTGCCAGGGTTTTCTTCCTACCGGGAATTCTTAGTGGGTGCAAAAAGTCCAATGAACTGGTGTATGGGAACTAATAGATTCTCATAGCCTATTTTGTCAGGATGTAAATTTAATTATCAACGATCTCAACTCTTGCCATCAGATTTAATCTGTAAACAACTATGATGGATATATTTAAATATAGTTTGTGACTGTTTAATATTCCTTCCACTAAAATTAACAAGTGAACTTGGGAAGATTAAATGAGTGACTAAATCCAAAAGATTCCACAAGCAGGTAATTCTTATTTGTCTGTGTAAAACATGTTCATGCCCAATATAATCTACATTCGCTGGTCCATTAATAAAAATTGATTCAGCCAAACTGATTTCTTAGAATGTGGTTCACTCCTGAGCACACTCTGTCATTCAACTTGGGCTGTAAATTTAAAATGTTCTTCACATAGAGTAAAAAATTGACATAAAAAACAAGGAAAAGCAAGATAGTGTCTGACATTCCCAAATCCTCTTCTTCCTCAAATCAACCTGGTTAGTAACAGAGACAAGACATGAATAGTATTCATACTAAAAATTAAAAACTTGGACATTCTTCTAAGACTTGGAAAAATGTTGGAATTTCCTTGGGATAGCAAAGAAATCTGGCATCTTCTAAATGGGCATTGATAGGACACTCCATTCAACCCAAAACTAGTCCACGTTATTATCTGGACCAGTAGACTGATTTTCAAACCCATTTTTAATTTTGCAAAATGTTCTTTATACAAAAGCCAACTTATAAGTTAAAGCAAAGAAAGACCATAAAGCAGGATATCCTGATTGATTGCAGCAGGCCTTACTTTTAAACTCTATTTATCTACTCTGCCTTGATAGTCCCAAATACTCAGCTTCACAAAAAAAAATTAAATACAGAACAAGAAAATAGTATTTTATGACTCAACAGGATCTGAAGATTAATGTGAAATTATAACACAAGGCGTGCCACTGGAAAGTGTGAGTGCAGTATGTTGGGCATTTTCTGTTTTGCTTTTTCTACAACAGATGGCTTTATTTATTTTGAAAGATTCAATGAAATGTTGCCTATGAAATAACGTTATGTAAAAAAGTGAACATAAAAAGGCACATCGCAACCAATTCCAATGCAGAAAAATAAAACATAATATGAAAGATACTGTTCAAAATGTTGAAAAGTGGCCATTTCCTACTATTAGAGTAATAGGTAACCTCTCTTTCTTCTTTATCCTACTACCCTGTATGTTGCAAATTCTCTAGAGTGGATATGCAATAACTTTGAAATGCTGTATCTCATTATTTTAACGTAACATATGAAAATGCAGAAAAACAGTAAAAGTATCCAAAATTCTAACATAATTCTGAAGTTTCAACAATATCGAGTGTGTTCATATTCCAGTATATTTTACACTCACTTGCTAAAGAACCTTCTGTTCAGTAGATGTTTCACTGCCTCCTTCACATCTTTGTTTCTAAGACTGTAGAGTAAAGGATTCATCATGGGAGTCATCACCCCATAGAACATGGATATAATTTTGTCGGTAGCTTCCAAGTAGTCTGAATTAAATGTCTCCTTAGACTTGGGCTTCATGTACATGGAGAGGATGGTCCCATAGAATATTATGACCACAGTCAGATGGGCTGAGCAGGTAGAGAAAGCTTTGCTTCTCCCCTCAGAGGAGTGAATCTTGAGGATGCTGGAAATGATTAATGAGTAAGAGATAATAATCAAGAGCAGTGGCATCAATGTGAACAATATTGTGGCCACAAGCATGATGAACTCATTGCCTGAGATGTCAGCACAGGCCATCTTCATGACAGCTAGAATTTCACAGGAGAAATGATTGATGACATTATTCCTGCAGAAAGGCAATTGTACTACAAATGTAGTTTGTACTGCAGAGTTGACAATCCCTGCAAACCAGGACCCAACAGCCATGGGTACATAGGCATCCTTGCACATGATGATGGGATATCTCAGAGGGTTGCAGATAGCCACATAGCGGTCAAAGGCCATCATGCCCAGGAGCACACATTCTGTTGTCCCCATGGACAAGCCAAGGAACATCTGCACTGCACAGCCAGAAAGGGAAATGGTCTTTCTTTCTGAAAGCAAGCTCACCAAGGTGGAGGGAATAGAGGTGGTGGTGTAGCAGATGTCCAAGAAGGAGAGGTTCCCCAGAAAGAAGTACATAGGGGTGTGAAGGTGAGGATCCAAGATGCTGATTAAAATGAGAGTACCATTGCCTAGAAGGATGACCACATACATTAAGAATATTAGCACAAAAAAGAGTAACTCAAGCCTTGGGTAACCAGAAAGTCCCTTCAGAAAAAATTCCACCAGAATGGTTTGGTTTTCCCATTCCATTTAAATGTCTCTCTTTTACCTGTAAGAAGTCAAAAAAAAAAATTTAATATAATTTATTTACATGGTAAATGCAAGTATACCAATATACAAATATAAAAATTTGCCATGAATGCAATAAAAGTATTGAAGAAAGAGAGAAAATAGGGAAGAGGAGGAAGGAATATAGGGAAAGGGAATGAAAAGAATGAACAATGCAGGTAGAGAAATAAGAGGGGAAAGCTTGTGATATTGATCACTTATTCTTGGCCAGGAACTTTGTGATGTTTTTTTTCACATGTTGCTTCCTTTAAACTCCACATTATCGTTTGAAAGATAAGAAAACCTTAAGTGAGAGAGAGTTCAGCCTAAAATCATATAACTAATGTGCAGCACAGCCTATAGACTCCAAGATTACCTGCTTGTGACCCATACTTGCCTGAAGTTTTTAAGTGAATTATAAAAGCAATACAGAGTATATTGCATAAGAGATTTGGTAATTTACTTTAAAACCTCACTCCCAGGTCAGGAGAACTCAAAAATAACCCATGTGTATTCCAACACTGAAAGAAGTGTGTCAATCTGGAGGTAGAATCATCAGAAATGAACCCAACCAGTGATTACTGTGTTCCTGATTATCCAGAGAACACGACCAATTCACGTAAAGCCCAATAATCCAAAATTTTAGTGTTAAAGTGCAAACACCTTTTTCTTTGGTTAGGGGTGGAATCTTTTTGTTGTTTTTTAAAATTATCATACAGTTAGATGTCATACCATAAATTGACTTTTTATCTTTTAGTGTGTGGTTCTATGAATTTTAAAACATGTATAGATTCATATAACCACGGCCATAACCAGAACACAGAACTCTTCTGTTACCCCAAAACACTTCTTTGTGATATTCTTTTCTTAGTCACCTCTTCCACCTACCTATACATCCTGGCAACCACTGATATTTTCTATCCCTATAGTTTTACCTTTACCAGAATGTCATATAAATAGAATCATATGAGCCACTGCCACGGGAGTTGGGTTTCTTTCACTTAAAGCCTCTGAGATCCATTCAAATTGTTACTGCTAAATAGTATTCTATTGAGTAGATTACTGTATTTTGCCTATCTGTTCACCTTTTGAAGGACATTTGGATTGTTTCCAGTTTCTGGCAATTATGAAAAGAGCTACTATAAATATTTCTGCCTCAATTTTTGTATGACCAAAAGCTTTTTTTTTTTTTTAGAATAAATATCCAGGAATGAGATAATAAGCATGCTTAAATGTATAAGAAGCTGCCAAACAGTTTTCCAGAGTGGCTGTACCAGTTTTGCATTTCAACCAACAACGTATGAGAGCGTCCCTTGCTTTCCATATCATCATTTAATATTGTCAGTAATTATTCATTCATTCTAATAGATACATATTCATATTTAATTATGATTTTATTTTACATTTCTTTGATGACGAATGATGTTGAACCTCTTTCTATATTTTTTTCCATTCTTTAGTAATGTATCCATTCATATCTTTTGTCCCCTTTTTTTGTTAACAAAATGGGGTCTCACTGTTTCTCCCAGGTCGTCCTCAAACACGTGGCCTCAAGCCATCCAGAGTAGCTGGGACTATAGATTCATAAAACCACCAACTTAACCAGAACACAGAACTACAGGCATGCACCACCCTGCTGGTTCTACTGCTTATTTTTAATTGAGGTTTATTTTTTCTTGTTGAGTTTTGAGAGTTCTTTATATATTTTGGATAGGAATTATTTATCATGTGACTTGCATATATTGTCTCCCAGTAGCTGGTTTGTCTTCTCATTCTCTAATGGAAACACCTTTTAGTTGCCATTTTAATTGGTTGCTGCCTAAGTCCCATTGAACATGATGCAAAGAAAGCCTATGACTAAAGAGACATGTTCTGACAGCACATCTCACTTTGGGTAATACTGCAGGAAAAAATCCACTGGAAAATAGCCATTCCCTGGGAAGTGGGAATGGTGGATTTTGCTTAACCTTGCCTCAGAAAGTCTCAAGCTATCTCTTAATTTTTCCTCGGGAACAGTCATTTCTCCCAACCCCACCACCCCTCTACACAAACAAATTTCCAGTAGTGTCATTGTCCATTGATGAAAATGCTCCACTTAGTTCACAAAACAAAAGTAACTTCTGAAAACAAACCAGGCACTTAACACATAGGCCATTTTTCTTTATTCACAAAGCTTGGCACAAGTTTAAGATCTAAATTGAGTTCTTTGAACCTATTTCAACCATTATCTAACTAACCAGATCTGCCTTTGGCCATTATAAGGGTATTTCTCCTTTCAGCCTATTTTGCCCCTTATTTCCATCAACTCCACTTTTTACACTTTGAGATTCTTTCATACCCTAGAAATACATCCTTTTTTATCTAAATCCTAGATTCACTTTTTAAATGCTATGTTATGAATAAAGCCACCTCAATTCCAATTCCCCGTTAAATTGTGACTGAGAAGCAATTTCATGGTAAGAAACGTTCTTCTAACCACTGCCACAATGCAGCTATTATTGTGTCAAGTCCACTCTGTCTAATAGAGAGGACAAGTGCTTAAGTCCTATCTTGGTGAGTTACTAGCTGTGACCATGGGCAATTTATAAATTCTCTGAATCTCACTATCTTCATCTATAACATGGTGGTCTTAATAGGCTTATAATGGGGTTCTCGGGAGAATAAATAGGCAATGCATGTAAAGTACATAGCATGTAGTAAGCACTATTTTTTGTTTCTTTTTATCTTCTACTGACTTGTTCTTCTCTCAAATATTCTTTTATATCTCTGTCACCAGTATCAACTGCTGCACAAGTATCTTCGGAATTTCATCAATCACACTTTCTCAGGTATCAAGTCTCCTTTCATCTAACTCAACCTATTTTTTTTTATCACATCCATGATATGAGATGGATGCGCATTTTACCAAAGCCTACTCACTTTGCAGTGAACAGTGTTATACCATTATAACAAAAGTCCATTGCAGTTTAAAACAAGGAGCGTATAGGGTGACATTTTTAAATAGAGGCTATTTCAATTCATTCATCTAAAATCTAAATGTCTGTGTGTATCTCACAAATGTTACATCTAAAGTCACCATACAAATGCATTACCAGCAACAAAAAAATTAAAAATATTCAAACTTCTCCAAAATACTCAGGCAAGCAAGTCAAAATTCTTCCTATTAACTAAAGACTCATTGCTCCTCTTCATTTGCATTTTTCACAAATTCAAAGATATATTCAAGAACAAGTAATAAAGTATTTGTGTTTCAAGTAGTATGCCTAGTTAGAGGTTCTGGGACAAGGACTATGCTAGAACACTGTCCACTTATGGTTAGTATTGGACGAACATTTGCTAAACTGAATAACATCAAACTGAATTGGTGCTGTGATTTAAATGGCCACAGAATCAGAACTTTGGTGGTAACAGACTTCTTTGCATTCTGGATCAAGAGTACAGATTGGCAGCCTATTGAGCAGCAGAAGAGAGATGATACTGTTAGATACATATCTGTGTGCTTGTAATAAAGTGAGGACCACAAAACTATATTTTGATCAATGAATCATTACTCCCAGTTAGAAATTATAAACCTATTCCGCAATAGGACTGTTCATGAAAACAACTATACACCTAAACATCATCTGTTTTGAATGCTCAGATTACTTTGCATATGCAAGTAGTCTTTTGGTAATATTTTTTCTTTTTTTCAATTTTCTAACTATATCTGAGACAATCCTCATGGATTTTTTAGACTTCCTGTACACTTTCTCTAATAAGAAATATCACATTTTCAAAAGACATGGCTTATTTCAATTCATTTCATAAGGCTAACCACCCCCCACCCCACCCCCTTAGATTTGTGTTAGTAGTATGGCTTCAGCAATTACCTCTAAATGGAAGGTCAGCTCACTTCCTAGGTTGCAATGCACAGCAGATTGTTTTGCCTTGATCTTCTATTTTTAGGCTGTTCAACAAAATTTTCTGTGAAGCTGATGAATTTCTGAAGAACGGATTACTGTATGGAAGCCATAATGACACAGGGTATATTATCTGTAAAACATTGATAACAAAGTATTATTTCTAAATTGTTTCAAAACTGCATACATTACATCAGATACATTTACAAAGGGAGAGTAATTTGGTTCTGCTAGTTCAAAAGTAAGAGGAGAAGAAAATACTGGGCAGTTCATTTTGTGAATATGGCACATTTCATTTGCCCTTGAAGCCCAGGTGGAAACATTGTCCCATTGAGAAGACCCAGTAAATTCTCTGAAGAATCTTCCTTGGGCCCAGGGAGGCAATTTAAATATTTCTTGCTCTCCGGGGCTTCTGCAAATTTCTAAGTCATAACTTTAAATTGCTTCAGGCAAAAGATATTCAAAACTTTTAGAAATTTCAAGAATAATGCCCTAAAGACTTAATTATATGAGACCCATTATTGTAATTTACATAACCAATCAGAAGTCTTGAAGACATGTCTTATCACATTTTCAATCTATTACTATATACTGCTGAGATCCTTTCTCCAAATATATTCTAATGACTTGGTCCAGACCTTTTTTTATCCTCTCATGTCGTCTTGTATGTAGTATAGTAGAAAGAACTCAGGCTACATTAAGTCTTGATTATTAACAATAATAATAATAGAATACAAATTTCTAGACCTCATTATAAGGGTTTTATAGATATTATGTCATTTGTTTTTGTTAAATTAATAAGTAAAGAAAAAACAAGTTTTAATGTACAACTAATCTAGAAATAATTGTATTTTGCTCTGAAATTGGAATTTAGATGTTATTGTAAATGTGGGTGGCATTTTGAAATTCACAACAAATTCAGAAATGTTTAAATCATACAATAGAAATGTAGAAGCTATTCAGCTTTTTTATTGTAACTCCAGAAGCTAATTTGTAACTTCATCTCACTCCATACTGTAAGGATTTCCAAAAAATTCACCTAAACAGATATACCGCTATTCCCTAGATTTATTGGCATAAAAA